GCTATAAATTTATAGAATGTTTACATTATTATTATTATTATTATTATCGTAGCGCTATAAATATTATCACACCCATATTAAAAAAAACTCACCTATAAATACAAAATAAAATAAAATAAATTTTATAGCGCCACGATAATAATAATAATAATAATAATGTAAACATTCTATAAATTTATAGCCGTTTGACTTTTTCGTTTTTTTGTTTTATTTTTAATTACCGGATGTGAACGATAAAATAAATTTTATTTATTAAATAAATAATAAATAAATAAATGTATCTTTTTTAATAATCGATAATAATAATAGCGTAATAAAAACCGTTACGTTTTAGTTTTAATATAAAACAAAAAAAAAGGTCGAAAATTAATTTTTTTTTTTTTGTAATGTTGGTAACCTCGTTTTGTCGATTAAAAAAAAAATTATGGTGGTACTATATGTTTCCGTTCGCGTAAATGTAAACAAATTGATGATATTTAGCGTTTTTGGAGGGAGAGGAAAACGTAATGAAAAATGGACGGTGCGATGGGGAGTGGGGGGCCCGAGAGGAGGGGGAAGGGAGGGCGGTAAATAAAAAAAAATGAAAACAACAATACATCAATGTGTTAAATTCGTTCGTATGTGAACGATCCCTGATTTTTTTTTTTTCCTGCAGGAAAAGGAAGAGTTGGGAAAATAAAAAATATGGCGTAGAAATAAATTTTTTTTTTTTTTTTTGGAAAAATGAGCATAGAAGGACTAAGGAAGGTTTAGGAAAAAAATGGGATAAGAAGAGTGGGAGGAGAAGGGGGGAAGAGGGAGGAAAGGAACCATAAAATAATTTAAAAAAAAAAAAAAAAATGGAAAATGGAGGTTAAATGAAATTAATCATAACGAAATTTCGAGCCTTTTTTTTCGTTTTTTGATTTTTTATTCTTATTGACGTGGTAGAAGAATAAAAACCGTTTTTTTTTTCGTCCCTCTTGACAAATAATAATGATAATAATAAAAATAAACGTAAAAGTGAAAAAAAAGAAAAAAAGGAAAAAAAAAATTTTTTTTTCGTTCGTAATTTATATCGTTAATATTAATAATAATAGTAATAAGGATGATGATGATGATGTTGTTCTTGATGATAATGACGGGTAATAATGATAATGATGATAATTTATATACAAGATTTTAACGAGACGTCAAAAACCGATGAAATCCTCGAGTTAATTTAAAAAAAATTTTTTTTTTTTTATTCGTTATAGACGTCGAGATAAAGAAATTATGTAAAAAAAAAATTCTCCAGTTTTCTCCAGTTTTCCTTACTGGAATGATAAACAGTAAAAAGGTTTTTAAAAAATTTTTATTACTATTGCAAACACCCTAATAAAAAGTTTTTTTTTTTTTAAATTACACATTTTGAATTTTCAAATCTCTTCTCAATCAATAAAAAAAAAAATTGATGAAATAACATAATTCTTTAAAAAAAAAAAAAAATGGAGGATTTGATTTCAAACATTCGTATAAACGTTTCCACCGCACCCACCTACCCACACGCGCACACACACACTTGTTGCAAATATTTAACTTACTGGAAAAAAAAAAATTTTTGTTTTTTTTTTCCTATGACAAGTGATTTTGATAAATTACAAATTTATTTAAATAAATAAATAAAAAAAAAATGAAACTGACAGAAAAATTATAGTTAATGCTACTCACACACACCCTCCTCCTTTTCCACCCCTCCCCACCTCTCACCAAATTTTTTTTAAAGGAAAAACAAACAAAATTTGAAAATTTATTATTCATGATTAATAACCTATACATGTATAACCTTTTTCATTATTATTATTTTTATTAAATTAAATTAAATTGTTTAAAGTTTTGGTCGGGTTGAAATGAATTTTAATTATTTATTAATTATCGTTCAAACAAATCAAATCGATACGTGAAAGTGATTTAATAATAATAATAATAATCGATGAAAAACTACATGAGAAATTTTAAATGGTTGGTTGAGTTTTTTTTTTTTTTCCTCTCCTTTTCCCCCTTCCACCTCTCCTCCCTTTAAATTTTCATTTTCACTTCCTCTATATTTTTGAAGTTATTAATAATTAATATTTTATTTATTTTTCTTAAACCCTCGCTCAATGAACTCGTTTTATTATCATTATTATCATTAATTTTATTTTTCTTTCTTTTTTAAATAATTAATCACGTGGCGATGATGTTGTAATTACACAAAAAACGACCTGGAGATAACGAACTGGATAAAAATCTGGAGGGATGGAAAAAATGGTAACAAATTTAAAACAATCGGTTAAAATAATAATAATAATAATACCATTTTTCCGGTAATTTTATCAAAGGAAAATTTTAAACCTTTTTAGTTACGAAAAAAAAAAGTCATTCATTCATTCATTCATTCTCTTGTGGTTTTGTTTTAATCACACTTATTTTCCATATCATTTAAAATAAAATTACGTGGGAAAAATGACGCCAAAAAAAAAGTTTCGGGGAGGGGAGAAGAGGGAAAGGGGGGAAGACAGAGAAAAAGGTATAAAATTGTTTAATTTAAATGGAAAAATTTTATTTTTCTAAAATTCCAAAAGTTGTGTGACAATAATTCAAAATACAAACCGCAGGGTGTTAAAACAAAAACCTAAATAAAAAAATTTAAAAAAAAAAGATGGAGATATAGGTAGGGAAAAAAAGGAAAAGAGAGAGAGAGAGAGAGGAAGAGAGAGAAAAAAGGAAAAAAAAAAAAGGTAGGAAGGAAATGAAAATGATTCGTTCGTTATTCCGGAATAATAATAACAAAATTTGTTTAAATTTTAAAAGCTCGAGGAAAAACCCGTTGAAAATTTTATTATATTTAAGAGTTTTCCTTTTCCCCCCTCCCGACCTTTTTTTCCCCACCTTTCCCCTCTTCATAACATTATTAACGTTACTCTAATATTTATATAATAATATATATAATATAATTTATATATCATAACGAACTCATTACACGAGTGTGTTACGCGTTTTTCCAACCGTAAAAAAAATAGTTGTAATTTTTTAAACATGGCGACCGATAACAACGTAAGATTTAAGTGGGGACGGGAGGGGGTTTTTAAGAAGTTTGTGATGACGTTTTTTTGTTAAAACATCCTTTTGTGACGACGTTTCAAAATGATGGATTATCAAATGATGATAAGGTTAAGAAGAAATTTATTGTAAAAAAAAAAAAAAATCTTTTTACTTCGTTCGTACCTGTTTTTTTTCCCACCCCCTTCACACCCATTTTCTGAACACACACACCTGAACTAAATGGATAAAATCAAATTGATTATCTTTTTTTTTTTAAAATTCCACGATGACGTCAGATAAGAAAAAAAGAAAAAAAGTCGTAAATCAACAAAAATTGAAGTTTATCTTTCTCCTTCTTCTTCTTCCTGTTTTTTGTTTGATAGAAAGAAAATTTTTGATTGATTTTTTTTTTATTTCGTACCTGAACGTGTCTGTCGTTTTTCCTTTGTTTCCTTTTAATGTTTTTAATTATTTACCAAAAAAAAAAGTGTTTTTTAATCGATTGTAAATATAATCGTACATAATAAAAAATGTCTTGAGATTTTTCGTTTTGTTTTGTTAGGAAAAAAAAGGGGGGGGAAAGGTTCTAGAATATTCTTTTCGTTTTCGTTTTTCGATCGAAAAAAATAAACACGAGAAAAGAGAATTAAAAATTAAAGAATGTTTAAACGAAAGGAAAAAGTAAATGATTTGATATCGCGTTGAACTTTTACCTTTTTCTCTCTTTCTCTCTCTCTCTCTCTCTATCTCTTTTTCTCTATCTATCTATCTCTTCAAAAAAAAAAAGGAAAACGAAATGAAAATTGTATGAGTGTAAAATTGATGATAAAAAAATTCCTGTCGTGATTTTTTTGAAAATATATCAAACAAAGTTGTTTTATTGAGTTTTTTTTTTTTATTTCTAATGATAATTTTTCCCCCGGAAAAAAAAGAAAAAAAAATTATGCAATTTTCTTACTTTCTCCCTAAAATCATCCCCCTTTTTTCCTGTTTTTCCTTCCATTTTTTTTTAATTTCCTCTTTTTATCTTTTTTTGTCGTACCTTTAATCTCATTTCTTGACATTTTTTCGTTTTGCATTTCAGGTGTTTTTTTCGTGTCACGTTTAATCATTTTATTTATTCTATTTATTTATTTATTTAAATTTGTTGCCTACCGTCATCAATGAAAATGTGATTTTTATCCTTATTTTATTTATTCATTCATTCATTCATTCATTCATTCACGTTACAAACATTAATTTAAATAAAAACAACAGTCCAAATTAAAAAGACGACATTTTTTAAAAATCTCTCATTCAGAGACTTTTCACGATTACAAAAAAAACCGGATACGGTGGAAAGTCAAAACATAAAAGATTTTATTATCTTTTCGAAAGTACGTGTGTGTGTATACGTGTGTAAAACACGTTAAAGAATCAACGGGTGAAATTACAAATAGTAATAATAATAATTATTCCGATTAAATGTGGTACCACCGCGTCCCAATTTGAAAACTGATACAAGTTGGTACAAAAAGGTCAACAACCGTTAACTTTATCATCTTTTTTTTTTTTAAATAATTTTTACGTTAACGTTGCGTTTGTGCGTAATAATATGCGTACGCATATTTAAATTTATCATCATCATCATCATCATTACTTCGGATAACGAATAAAAAACAAAAAAAAATTTTTTTTCGCCATCACGATAATTTAAATTATTTAAATTTTTTTTAATTCAATAATGGCGGACATGTTTGTTTGTTTTTTAGTTTTTAATGCGATTAAAAAAATTTACAAAAAAAGAAATCGAAATAGGTAAAATATCGATCGACTTCCGGTTGAATAAATAAATAATAAAAAAAATTTAAATACCGGAAATAGGAAAATTTCACTCCGATTTTATTTTATAAATAAATTTTTTTTTATTTATCCGATTTATATTATTATTATTATGATTACGACCGCGTTCGGCATAATTGGGTTAAAAAAAAAATGAAAATGGACGAAGAAGAATTGGCAGAAGAAAAACAAAAAAAGGAAAACAATTTAATTATATAACAATTATATCGTTTTCCTCTTTTAATTAAAATTATTTCGATTTTATTATATGTGTTAGTAAGAGGTAAATAAAAGGTCACGGGGTTAAAAAGAAGTCACGATAGATGAAACAAATATAAACGAGAGAGGGGAGGGAGGGGGAAAGGGGGATTTTTTTCTCTTCGTCATCATCTCGTAGATTATGATTTAATCATCGATTTTCGTAGTAAATTTTTAAATAAATCGGATCCCGAAAAAAAAAACTTTTTGATGTTTAATATGGGGATATTCATCATAAAAGGAGGGGCGGGGGAGGGGGGGAATTAAAAAATATTTTTGTTTTACCTGGAATCCATCGTATGTCCAGGAACCGAATTTCATGACGCACGTTTGTTCATCGAATGGAAAATATTCGACATCAATTTCACAACTTGATTTATATATAGCCGGAGGTTTCCATTCAACTCGGCCTGTATAGTTGAGCGTGGCCTTTGTCGCAAGGGTAACTTCAAAATTTCCATCAGCGCTATAAAAAAAAATCACCCTTATTATAATAAATATCGCGAAGGGGTAATATAATATTTATATATAAATAATTACTTATTGTAAAGAACTATATCCGGTCTCCATATATGATCCGATGGTACGTGAAGCATTTCAACGCCGCCATATTCTTTTGGATCCCACTGGAGTTTATAATCGTACCAAGACTAAAAAAAAAAAAAAAATTTTCGGTTTAAACTTTTATTATTGATAATTTTTTTAAAAACTGGATTCGTATGGAAAGTCTGGAATTAATTACACTCGTATATTATAATAAACTCGTTTCCGATTGGTCGAATCGTTGTATAACGTCATTATTTTTCTCCGGAAAACTTTTCTTTTTTTTTTGTTATAAGTTTTTAAAAATTTTTTACTTTTTTCCAGTAATTTTTCTATTTTTTTTCCACCCGAAAGTTTCGTACGAGAGAGAAAAAAGACGATAACATAAAAATCAAACATGTTATGTTGCGTTTAAAAACAGCTGTTGCATCAATAATGATAAAAGCAAATATTAATCTCTAGAGAGAGGGAGAGAGACAGAGAGAGTGAGAGTGAGAGAGAGGGGGGAGGGGAGAGATTTTAAAAAATTTATATTTATTGACAATTCTTAAACTGCAAAATTAATTCCGCGATTAAATAATAATTATTTTAATTAAATTTTTTTTTCGGGGGGAGGTAGGAGCAGAAGGAGGAAGGAAGGGAGGGGAATGAGAAAGGTAGAAACAAGGGGAGTTTTTTATTTGAAGGGGAATGTTTTTATTTTTTTTTTTTAATAAAAAAGTCGAGCCATATTTGTTACAAAAAAAAAACTAAAAATTGATTTATTACTACTATATTTTTTTTTTTTACAACAACAACAAAAAAAACTTACGTAATAAATTATTTTAAGAATAAAAACAAATTTCAAAAAAAAAATTTGTGAGAAGAATATGAAAATAATTTTTTTTTTTTTTGTAAATTTTCTAAATGAGATTTCGATAGGAATGAACTCGGAAAAAGTAAGAAAAATGGAGGAAAATCTTTTTTTTTTTTGAATTTTCCCGCGAAAAAATTTTTCCTAACGACGACGTTGACAATGAAAATTTTCATAATAATAATAATGATTATAACTTAATAGTTAACGAAAAAGTATTATTATTATTATTCTTACGGTAATTTATTTTAAGCGGTCAGTTAATTTTCTTTCTCTCTCTCCTTCTCTCCTTCTCTCCTCTGTCTTCTCTTTGTGTAATGGATGAAATGTTTTGATATAAATAAAAAGTTTTTTTTTTTTTTTAAATAAAAATAAAATTTCATTTAATAAAGAGATATGCCAAAATAAAAAAGGAAAAAAGGATGGAAAAAATGGGTAAAAACATTTTATGTTTGTTTAGGTGGTTTTTACTGCTCTAAAAATGTCACCTTTGTCGAATACGTAATTTTTTTTCTGCCAATGGTAAACTCCCATTTTTTTTATTTAAACTCCCTATACTTTTCCTCCTCCCCCCTTCCCACCCCTCTACCCCCCACATTTTTCTTTTTCCCTACAGGATACATATATATATATATTTTTTTTTCTTCTGACTTTTATTTTATTTCGCTTTTGATCGTGAAATTTATAATTTAAAAAAAAAAAAAAAGAAAAAAAAATTGACAGAAAAAATCAAATCGAAACAAAAATATTTTCGATTTGAAATAAAAAAAAAAAAAAATGATGATGAATCGAAAAAAAATTACTTCCACATTTTTCCCCACCCCTACCTCCGTCTTTCCCCCTTTTCTACTCCTCCTCCTCCAAACAAAAAAAGCGAGGGAGATTTAAAATCTTTGAAATTTTAATACTAAAAAAAAATTTTTTTTTTTTTTTAATTTTTGTTTTTAAACTTTTTTTTTTTACCCTTTTCGGATTAATTTTTCTCTTTTTTTTGATTTTTGTTTTAAAAACGTGACCCAATTACGATAAATCAAAAAACAGAAAAAAAGGGGGAGGGGAGAGGGGGGAAATGTAATAATAAAAAAGTAATAAAAAAAAAAAAAATTATTCATCGACTTACCTGTTCGACCCATAAATTCGTCGTCATTATTTGATTTTTTAAATTCTGAAAAAAAAAATTTAAAAACAAAATTATTATTATTATTATTAAACATTTTTTGTAAGGGTTGATTTTCTTTTGATAAAAATCTATAACAATTTTCCATGAAATCGATAATAAATTTTTTAGGGTAAAATTTGTTATAATGATAAAAATCGTTAATGTTAGATACAGGATCTTAAGTAATCGACTCTAAAAAGAAAAGAAAATTTTCTTTTTCCCCCCTCCCCTCCCCTCCCCCCTTTTTAAAACGTCAAATTGATAATATACCTTTTTCTTTTTTCTTTTGTTTTTCATCCATTTAAAACCGATGAGTTTTAAATAATTATTTAAAATTTTCATTAAATAATTAAAATAAGATAAAAGATGGCATAACTAATAATACCATCGCGACAGTAAAAATCAACCCCAATTTTTTTTTTGTTTTTCCTCCCTTTTTTTCGATCATTTAAAACGTTTTAACATTTAATACATTAATATTATCATCATCATCATTTTTTTTTCGACAAAACGTGGAAACAAATTCTATTTAAACAATATGCAAAAAAAAGTAATTATTTCTTTTTTTATTATTTCCGTTTAGGGATGATGATGAATCGGTAACGTTCGTTAAATTTCGTACATATCCGTAGGGTATGAAAATATATTAACCAATCAGAATTCGGTTGGGTATTTAAATTTTAAAATCCACCATTTGTTTACATTTTCATTCATTAGTGGCAAAAAAAAGGAAGGAAAAAGTCAAGAGCAGTAAAAAAATTAAAAAAAAAAAAAGGTTTTCCTTTTTTTTTTCCTTTTTTTTTCCTTTTTTTTTCCTTTTTTTTCCTTTTTTTTTCCTTTTTTTTTCCTTTTTTTTCCTTTTTTTTCATGCGCATTTAAAATTATTATTATTATTAAAAATAATTCCACCGTAAATTTATTTAATTATTCATACGTACATTTTATTAAAAAATTTTATCAATATTTTAATAAATCATTTTATTTAAAAAAAAAAAAAAAAAAAGTGACGCAAACGTTTTCATAACAAGAAAGAAAAGAAAAACGGGACAAATTAATAATAAACCATATGTAAAAAGTTTTTCTTTCACTCTCTCACTCTCTCTCTCTTAGAATGTCTTTCAGTAAAAAGTTATAAAATTTATTACTTATATAAAAAAATAAATAAATTTAATTTAAATTTTGATTCGCGTTATAAAAATTGAATTTTTTTCATAAAATCTCATCCATAAAAAAAAATAAAAATTGTACTTTTTTTTTTACAAAATAAATAAATTTTAAGTCTTATCGATAAAAAAAAAAAATACAATTCAATATGAATTCTATGACGTAATAAGTTATTCTAACTTCGAATTGTCAAAAAAAATTTTTTTTTTTCTTTCATAAAATTCATCATAACTTTTTAAGTTAGGCTCCTCCCCCCCCCCCAAAAAAAAAGGAAGTAGAATTTAAAGCCACGTATTGAAAATATAATTAAATTAGTTTTAAAATAAAATTCTATGATTTTCACCGGAAAAAAAAAAATTTTCATAGAGTAACAAAAAAAAAAAAAAAACGTGACGCGAATATAAATCACATCGTTAAACTTCTTCCCTTATTATTATTATTATCATTATTATTATTATTACGTACGTATATATATATATATATTAATACGAATGAATATATATATATATATATTAAATTAAAAAATTTATCACGCGATTCGTTTTAATTGTTTCCCCCGTCCTCCCCCGTCCCCTTATCGTAATTAAATTTATTAATTATTTATTATCAATAATTTAAATATGGCCGTCTGACGTCACGACGATATAAATTTTTTTTTTTTTTTAAATATTTGCATATTAAATGCAACGAAAAGGATTAAACGGAAAAGGAAGTGAAAAGCAATAATATTAATGTTACGTAATGAGTTTAAAAAAAAAATTTTTTTTTTTTTTTAATTTATTATCATCACGACGGAAATGATTTTTCATTTATTTATCATTATTATTATTATTATTACTATTATTATTATTATTATCGTTTTGTTTTTATTGACGTCATTATTATTTAAAAATAAAAAATAAAAACGTTTGTGTTAACCCTCTAATGATTTGCTTTCAAGTGTAATTAAATATAAAATAACATGTTTAATTAGTAGCCTTTTGTGTTTTGCTTCCGCGCGCACGTGTGGGTGTGCGTGTGTGCACGTGTAAAAGAATTTTAAATAATTGTTTTGTTCAGGAAGAAAATACCTTCCGGTGAGTTTTGATGTTTTTTTAAAAAAAACTATTTTTTCCCTTTGTCGTTATTTAATCAATAAAAAAATTTTTCGGTAATTGATAGATAATTAATAATTAAAAAAAAAAATTAAAAAGTTTTTAATTTGACTCGAGTTGTCACTCGTTTTTTAAATTAAAAAAAAAATTATTACTATTATTAATATTTAAAAATCGATTTTTTTTATTTTTTTTTTTTATTTTGTGATATTTTGAAAACTCATAATTAAAATAATGATAATAAAAGTAAAATTGCGTGTTAAACAAAAAAAGAAAAAAGTGAAAATTATATAAAAAAAGTTTTTGATTTAAATTTTGATTGCGTGAGTTTAATATCCGCCACGTATTATTATTAGTATTATTATTATTACTACTACTATCAGTAATAATTTTTTTTTCGTTTTTGTTTTTTTTTTTTCCTTCCTTCTCTCTAGAATATAAAATATATTTTTTTCTATCGTTTTTCATAATTTTCTTCCTTTTCCGTTTTTTTTTTTTAGTTTTTCTAAAACTTTCTTTTCATTTCCGTGATTTTTTTTTTTGCATTTTTATATTTAATTACATCGATAACATGTTTTTTAAAATTTTCCGGTTTTTCTTTCTCTCTCGAGGATCTTTACGTAAATTTCCAAAAAAAAAAAAAATTTAACGGATTCTAATTTGATCTTTTCTTTTTTTTTTTTGTTAATCCAGGAGAAATGCATTTTGTACTAAACTCGATGACTTTTGGGCCGATTTTTCCCCTACATGGACTCAACCTTTAAGGCATCCTCCCAAGACATCCAAGTTAAAGATCCACCCCTAGCAGACGCCTAGTCCACGTAGAAAATCCAATCCTAGAACCCCCACCCTTAAAACATCCCCTATACCTAGCCTCCGAGTATTTGGAGCATAGGAGTACACCATCACTCCCGGCTGCACACAGCTCCTTCCCTTCAACTCCCCCCCTTCAAACCTTCCTTTTTCATTTATACTCTCTATATCTTTTTTAGTAATAATAATAATAATAATAATAATAATAATAATAATAATAATAATAATAATAATTTTAATAATACTTTATTCAAAGTTTAAAATTTCATTTTATTTAAAAAAAGAAAAAAAAAGTTTTATTTTTTGGAATTTTAATTACGTAACAAAAAGAATTTTTTTTTTTTTATCATTTTCAAAAATATTTTTAGCAACACAACAACGAAAAAAAAGTTTTTATGAAAAGTACAAAGAAAGGTTCGATTTCAATTAATCCTCTTTCATAAAAAAAAAAAAAAAAAAAAAAAAATTCGTTTGATAATTTTTTGAAAACCTTTTTTTTCGGTTTAGAATTTAAAAAAAAATGAGCGGGAAAAATTTCTCTCTCTCTCTCTCTCTCTCTCTCTCTCTCTCTCTCTCTCCTGTCGTTTATCGTCATCATAGGACTTATTATAACTTTATTTATTTATTTTAGGATGGAAGAGATCAGGGACGGGGAACGGACTAGTAAGGGGAGAAAAGGACAATATTTCAAAAAGTAAATTTTTACTCAACTCAATCGATTTGTATTAAATAATAATAATAATAATAATAATAATGATAATAATAAGCATAATAATAATAATAAAATAATGATTTCATTTTTTTCTTAATTTTTTTTGTTTCTTTTTTTTTTTTTTTCTTATTGAAATTTCTTAATCTTCTTAAGTTTTTAAAAAGTTATGATGATGATAATAATGATACTGTCGCTGTTATTAATATTTTATTATTATTATTATTATTATTATTATTATTATTATTATTATTATTATTATTATTATACGTATAGAGGAGCGTAATGCAATTAATGAGATTATATAATAATAATTATTATTATTAAAATTCGTAAAACGTGTAAACCTTAGTTTATTAAATAATAAATTACAAAAAGGAAAAATAGTAATAATAATAATAATAATAATAAATTTTTCTTTATATAAATTGTAATCATTCTACTGACACGAAAGTCTTAAAAGATAATGAAATTTTACGTTTTCATAAAGCGTTTGAGTATATAAAAAAATAAAAGAAAAAGGAAAAAATAAAAAAAAAGGAAGAAAAAGGAATTCAGGTCGAATTTCTTTTTTTTCCTTTTTTCCTTTGAAAGGTTTTATATATATATATATATTTATATAAAAAGGTTTTTGTGAACAAATCAAAATTAAGAACTCTTGATTCAAAGGAAAAAAAAGGAAAAAAAAGGAAAAAGGGAAAAAAAATTTTTAAACCAAACAAAACTTTGAAAAAAAGAATCTTAAGTTATTCTTTGGTAGGTTCAATTTTTTTTTTATTTATTTTTCCGGCTCCCCCCCTCCCCTCGAAAAAATAAAAAAAAAAGAAAAAGTTTTCCTCCCTGGATTCAATAGGGATTAAATTTCTTTTTTATTTTCACCCTCCCTCGTCTCAATGGGATTTTTTTTTTTTTCCACGGTATGATGTTACATTAAATGTTGAATAATAAGATGGCGGTACAAATATTTTATTTCATACTTATGCAACCTGACAGTCTCCTTTTTTAGTTACATCAATTTCCCCTCCCCTCACCCTCCTTCCTACCCCACCCCATCCCTTCCTTTTTCCTTTAATGGACTTTTAATAAACTACAAATTCATCCTCTACCCGAAACAAACACACACACGAATTTTTCTCAATTTTTTTTTTTTCGTACAAATTTTTCTTATTATTATACTAATAGTGATGACGTAATATTGATGACGTAATACTTACCACGTCGATTAATTGTGATAATTTTAATTTTATTTTTACTGTTAATGCATCTGTCACGTTGACAACGGGACGTACGAGTTTATTGTAGTTTGATAATAAATCATCGTAGAGTCGTTTCGCATCCGGATTTCCCGAACATTCTATAAATAAATAAATAAATAATATTAATAATAATAATAATAATAATATTAATAATAATAATAATAATAATAATAATAATAATAATAATAATAATAATTTAAATTTAAATGTTTTTTGTTATTTGTAATTAATAATATAACATTTAAAAGTTGTGTAAAAATTGAGAATTTTTCTTTGTATTGTTCTCTTCGCTCGTGTCACGATTTATCAACATTTTATTTTGTGTTTTTATTATTATTATTATTATCATAATAAAAACAAATTAAAACGTTAATGATAATTAAATTAAATAATATTATAATATTTTATAAGGTTTTAATTAAAAAATAAAAACACTTAAACTTGTAGAAAAGTGTGATGATAATAATGAGATGAAATTAATATTGTTTTTCTTTTGTTACCGTACGAAAAAAAAAATTTTATTTGTCATTTTCAGTTTTGTCCTTTTTTTTTGTTTTTCAGAAATAGAACGAACGGATGGGGAAAATTTTATCACGACAGGAGAAAATTCAGGGTCGCGTCAGAAGAAAAATGATCGATCGATCTATAGGGTAAGTTTAATTTATTTAATTATTTTTAACAAAATAATTGAGAATTTATCATTTAAATGTATATATAAAAAATTTTTAAAAGACCAGACGACAAAAAAAAACGCGGGAAAATTTTTTGTGTTCCGCCATTTTTTTTTTTTTTTTTTATAATTAAAAAAAACGACGCGTAAAATTTTAAATTATTTATAATAATTTTCTCACGTTTTTTTTTTTTAAATCGATAATTTTTTATAAATTACGTTTACTAAAATATTCAATCAATCAATCAATCATTCGTAATTTTTTCCCTTCGTTTATAAAAAAAATTTTTTTTTTATCACAGCCCGTTCTTATCATAACAGTAACGAACGTTCGAGAGAACGTTAACGATAACAAAGAAAATTTTTTTTTTTTTCCAACCAAAAAAATCATATCGGCGACGTTATTCTTCTGCTTTTAAATAATGATAATAATAATAAAAAATTATCGTCGTCGTCGTCGTGATATTCTATTAACTTTTGAATATTATTATAATGAGTTTTAAGTTACGCCGCGTTATTCTTTTCTTTTTTTCATTTTTTTTTCCCGCGTAAATTTGAAAAGTGATAAAAACACATTAAAAAAAAAAATGCCGGAGGTGAAAAAAAATTGATAACTTGAAAAATATTTTTACATAGATATATTTACGTGATATAGATATTTAATATTAAATTTATTTTATCACTTTTATGGAGAGAAAAAAAAAAAAGAAGAAAATTCTCCAGTATTGAATTTCCCTGATAATTTTCACGTTAAATATTTAAAATGCGAAAGAAATTGATAGATGGATGATAATAAATAAATTATTTATTAACGAGTAGTGATTATGAATAAATTATCGATGACCATTTATCCAAATAAATAATTATCATTATCATCATCATTACTACCTGCGTAACGGTTAAATAATGTTTTGGCGTCGAAAAAAAGTGCGCGTAACAAGCTTTTATTCATAAAATTTAGGAAAAACCCAATATTATCTATTAAACTCCTAATGGCGATGATGATAATTTTATTATTATTATTATCGTAGTAGTTATCATTATCATCGTAAAGGAATAAATATATATTAAATACTCACCGGAAATAATGGCGAAAACTATGAACATGATGCTTAACAAACAATGCATTATGTTTAGAAAATTATCAATTTAAATTTAAATGTCATGTTGCCCATTTATTATTATTATTATTATTCGTTTTATTATTATTAATATTATTATTATTATTAACAAATCCTTTGATTTTGTTTTTACTATGTGACATTGTTTTCATTCGTGTACCTGAAAATAAAAAAAGTAAAATTTTAGTGATGCGGCATCAAACCCTGAAAAAAAATTTAACTTTATGTGAAAATCATAAATTAATACGAATTATTATATTGAAAAAGTATTTAAAAAATGAGATTCGATAATGAAAAGAAAATTATGTATATTTTCTTGTGCCACTTTTTTTTTTTCATAACGTTTATAAATGTTTATTAAATCGTGTCGGGCGTCAACCGTCATTATCGTAATTTTTTTAAATGTATATATTTAAAAGGCGGAAAATTTTTACGTCGTGGTAGGAGAAAAGAAGAACTTACGTGTGGTTGCAGAAGCAGAAGGCGGTGGTTGTGGGAAAAATAAAATTACGTGCGAGTTACAATCATTTTTTGAGTTCGTTAAAAAAAAAAAAAATGAATTTAAAACGGTTTCATTTTTATTCTCACGTTATCGTAATTTTACTTTCTTTTTTCTTTTCCGGAATCGGTTAGAAAATATTCTAGAAAGTTCTAGAAAGGGGGGTAGGAGAGAATGAAAATGCGGGAAAAAAAAAATTTTTTTTTTTTATGCATTTTATAAAACATCGCCTCAAGTTTTGTTGGGGTTTTTTTTATTGGCCACTTTACTAAAACGAATTTTTTTTTTTTTCTAAAGTTACGTTACGAATTTTTAATATTTAAAAAAGGTTTTTTTAAAAAATAAGAAATTATTATTATAGTCTACTGCCACTTTTCGTTAAATTTTTTTTTTTTTTTTTAACTTTAATTGTCATATTAAATGTTTTCTTTTTTTTCACGGTGAAAAAGGTTTTATGAAAAGGAAATTTTTTTTTCTTTTCTTCCGTCAAGGTAAAAAAAGGTTTGGAAAAATTGAAAATTTCCTCCCTCCCCTCCCCCTCTCTATTTAAAGATTTTATTTGAAGTAAACGTAAATTTGACAAATTTTCAAACAAAATTTTAGTTTTAGTGTTTTGCATTTTCCAATTATGCTAATGATAAACTAATTTTTCTTCTACTCCACATTTTCCACACTCGAATAAAATTAAATTGAAAACTTACACTAATAATAATAATAATGATAAAAACATTAAATTTAACGTGCCGTTAGAAACTATTTAAAAATAACACTAAGACACGTTAAATTTTTAACACATTCGGACATACATAAAAAGTAAAATGAAAAAAAGGCGTTTTTTTTTTCTGGGAGAGGGAGAGGGAGAGAGAGAGAGAGAAAGAGAAAGAGAAATAGAAAGAAGAAGAAGAAATCCTTAAAATGTTTCACCCGCAAAATCTGGATAAAAACCTGGCACCTAAGCAAACACCAAAAAACAAACAAAAAAAGAAAAAAAATTTTTTTTTCTTTCCTGGAAAACCACAAAAATTCCAAAAAAAAAAAAAATTTTTATTAAGGCGCGTCTTTTCGGAAGAGGGGGAAGAAAATAAAAATTTATAATAATTATTGAACTCTTTTCCACCTTCTTCCCTTCTGCCTCCCTCCCTCCCTCCCTGCCCCTAATGTTATTATTATTATTATTATTATTATTATCGTTTTTTGTGCATAAATTTAAGTGAAGGGATGGATAATTTCAAAACATTTTACATTTGCGTGTGAATACGTAAACGTGATTTGACTCCATTTTGTTTTTTTTTTAATTTTTTTTTATTCATTTATATATTTATGCGGTTATTTTTCCTTACTACGCC